TACATGTTCAATTTTAATTCTTGTCAATTCATTTGCTTTAAATTTTATATAAATAATATGCGAGAATAAAAAATAAGCTTTTCTAATATTTAATTAAATACTACATTTTTATATATATAATAATTATTTTAATATCGATTGTAAGATTTGAATATATATGCAATTTTTTGCAATTCGAAAACTAATAGCTATATTCTATAAAATTTGTATGAATGATTTATTGTAAAAATTGTATTTGATATTTAAATTATCTGAAGCAGTATACTTTATGTAATACATTCTTAAAAAATGTAATATTTAAATTTATTATTTTTAACTGAAGTTCTTATTTTTTGTTTTATTTAAAAACTAGTTTTCGCTATGATGTTAGTTATATCAATATTTATTATACATTAAAACTCCTATAATTATTATTATGTTCTAATTAAGAATGCGTAGCTTACGGAAAAACTTTATTTTAAGTTTATATTTCGCTATGTAAGAAACTGATATGAACTTGTTTCTAGGAAAATAAATAAATTGTTATCTTTATATCTTTATATATCTATATATCTCTATATCTAATATCCTTTAAATTTTCTCAAGTAATGGATATAATACAGAATAAATTTATTAGTATATTAAACTAAAATTAAATACATACTAGATAGATAGTGATTAAATTTCTAAATTATAGAAAATAAAGTAGGTAACTGAATGATGTTTTTCAAAAGTAAAGATTCTTTATTATTTCCAAATTTTTTCATAGAATACCACAAAAGTTGCATTCACCAAAATAATCATTTTATAAGTTGTATCTTGTTTAGTTGAAAGAAAAATAAATTAAGCTTATTATATTTGTTAAATATATTAATTATAAATCGATAAATATTTAATCCATTAATATTTAAAAAAAGAACAACTAAATTCTGATTCCAATTATCCGTCACTAGATTTTACTTCAATTACTTATAAATAATAATCCTTGATTTATAAGGTATATATATGTGTTTGGAATTCCAGTCACCCGGAGGTCAAGAGACCAAGATGATTGGATTAGACCTGTTCCATTATTAAGGATTTGTTTAATGGCTCGAACTGCCAATTCAGTAGTTCAGTAGATTAGTCTCTCGTCCTGATAACTTAAGAGCAAATAATAAGTGGAAGGGCTGAAAAATATGATTAGTATTTATTATTTGTTAAATATTATAATAACATTGCACTGTTGTTGAGAGAGAGAATTATGCTATTGTAGTAGTGAGGGTGTTTTCTTGCGTTCTTTATTATTGTAGATGCTATGGAAATTACTGTGTATCGTGAGAGTTAAAGTTATGTTGATGTAAACATCAGCCTGTGTAGTCGATCATGCTCATGAATGATCATGAGAAGATGGTGTTTAAAATAAAATGTGCTCTGTAGGGAGAATGATAATAGTGAGCGTAGTGTGAAATCTTGATGGAGATTGGTGTTTAATCAATTATGTTTTTAATTATGATGGGAGCAGTTGAAAACTAGTCACACGCAAGAATCATAGATGACAAGGCTTCGACCTCTGAAAGACTCAATGAACATGTATTTTGTTGTCGATTATTTTGTAAATTGTTGTCTGGATTTGACAATGTAATTGACGTGTTGCGTCAATTATATCGACTTTTTGTGGACCTGTACGGTGTCGAAGTGTTAGTTCGATAGAGCGTCCTCTTTCCCGGTCGATTCTTTAAAGGCAGTTTTGTGAAGCGTGATTTTGCGCGCCTGTAACTATCCTATTTAATAATATAAAGAGATGTACCTTGTAAACTGCCGACAAGGTATGTTCATTTACTGCGTGGCTGGTGTGGCCCTTTTGATTACTATTCCAATTGGCTTCACTGTACTATCGCTACTTAATCTTGCTGATTTCTTTTTATTTTTAATGCACGTGTATTTTTAGGTTGGCTGCTGAAGATGCGGCCACGTATAAACCTTTTGAATACGCGCACGAACCCAAGGCTTGATCGTTCCGTGGCGGCTCTGCTGAAAATACCGACCCTTCCATGGCGGTCCTGCTAAAGGCAGACCGAGACCCGTGCCATGGCTTCTACTGGTAGAGGCTTAGATTGGTTCACTACAGTCGGGTCACGGCAAGATATTAGTAGCAAGCACTGTTCAGTAAGAGGTTGCTTCAGTAAGGGTAGTTCAGCAAGAGATGTTTAGCAAGAAAGCGAGGCACTCACGTGCTTGCCTCATATATCCACGCGGCGGCTCACTTAGCTGGCAACAAAGCATCGTCGTTGCTGCACTGAAATATTACATGAGGCGCAGAAAGAAAAATCTAGATGTTTCCAGAATTCGACGAAAGAAAAAATAAGGCGTAATAACGATAGAGAGTTTCTGGCGATGTTATTACCCGAAGACCATATAAACATTACGGGCGATTTGAAACAAAAACATAGCAAGTATACGAAAATTCTCGTCCAAGTGTTTGCAGAAATCTGAGATTTAAAAGACCGGCGATGCCGACAATCGACGGTCTTGAAACTGGCTTTAAGCTCGAACAAGACTATACACACCATTTTACTGGTGGTAAAGTGTGAATAAGTAAGAGGTTAATGCTTCAATTCTGTAATCAACACAATTGGTTTTCGTGATATTTATTAAGTTTTGAATTAGAAACACATAAATATGATTCTACGTTTGTAGTGAGAATTGTTGAGGCCGTACAGCTCCTTGTTGGTATTTTGCGTAGAACGAGCGTGCACTGCTAGTCGAGGTTGAAGATTGTAGATCTCCTGGACGTCTTGTTGTAGTGTGCTTGGTGGAATTGCTACACTAAGAAGCGCAAGGGCGTAAAACCTTGAGACTCCTTGTATAGAGACACGTATGGTGCTTTAAATACGAGTTTCCTTGTGATGATAATATATTGAATTAATACCTCAGCCGGCCCCTTGCAGAAGATTTTTGCAGGAGGCGCAGCGCCTCGTCCGGAGAGTGTGAGTTACATAGTGTGTTTCCTCTTAGTTGACTCAAGCAAGAATGCCCTTGCAACTGGTATCCCTTCGTACACTTTACTGCCATATGAGCCTGATGCGTTCGTGCTTTCAATATTTGGTTTTTCTTTCGATTAAATTCACAGAAATTAATTGTCTTACCTAATTCTGTGATGAGTGCATTGGTGATACGCTTCTTATTTAATATTCACTCTCGTAATGCAATCAGCACTCTTGACTGCTTGAACTATGGTGTGCTTAAATAGTTGTTAAATATATTGGCTTCACTGTTGGCTTCCTAGCTTATTGTTGCAGACTCTGGCTGAATTATGTGCGTATATTTAGTGAAACTGACTGACTGGTATAAGGCGGAGTTTAGTTGCTGTGTAGAGTAATAACTGATAACTAATTGATTGAAAAATTATTGAAAAAAACATGACGTCAGAGACTAAAGCTTTAGAACTTTCTAGACTCTAGGAAAGCAAGGCTCTACAAATTTTGTAGAATTCGTAACGACGTTGCTATGCAGAAACTAGATAAATATTACAGGAGTTCGCAAGCAAAAGCTTTAAAATGATCGAGAGATTTCGGAGTCAATGTTTGTTTTCGTGAGCTGGAACGATTACAAATTTCGAAGAATTAATTTGCTTGGAAAGTGCTCCAATCCTGAATATAATTATATATTTTTCTAATATTTTAAAAATACAATGATTAATCAAAGGATATTTTCTAAATAAATAAAATAAAATATTTATTTTCGCTAAATATCTAACTAATAGGCACAGTTGAAAATTAAAATATTAATGATTCATGATAAAGATGTTAATTAAAAATTATTTGTTTACATAACAATTCAAATACAAATAACAGTTTATAAATAATTGATATCATTTTCATAGTCTAGTAATTATGATTAATTATGACTAATTTTGATTATATTGATTTTTTCATTTTTTAAATACTTTTTATGTTCCTGTTTAAATATATAAGAAGTTTCTCTGATTATTAAAATGTATACTAACATTTTTATTATAAAACTACAAGAGTACAAAATGTCACACTAAAACCACAAAGTGTTAAACTGAAAAAATTGTTTTGACATATGAAAATTATAAATTTGTAATTTGTATGTTTTTATCAAACATCATTTTAATTATTATAATTAAAGTATGCAAATGAGTTGTGATAAAATAAAAAAATTTAATTTAAAATAAGAAGAAGTAATTAATTAAATAAAAAGTTCAATTCATGTACTTATTAATCTTTTTTTTAAATATTAATGTGATTCACTATATATTAATCGGAGTATTGTATATTATAATAAGGTACAAGAAAAATAAGAACAATATTTTTTATAGAATTAATATAACGATGTTATATTTATATTATAATAGTCCATATATACTCATTAATATGTGATGTCTTTATATATCTGGTAATATCGTGAACACCTATCTCGTAGTTACAAAGCTTAGTTTTTAATTACTCTTGTTTGAAATAGGCGCCGTATCTATGTTTCGTATTGTGACAAAAATCGTTTAGTAGGCTGAATACGTCAAGGTTAGTGATAAACAAGAAAGAGTATGAGAGTAAATACATAAATTTAGACTGTTTATTTCATTTTAATAGACATTAGGTTTTTTGCATATGTGATCATGTTTGTATCAATGTTCAATACCAAAAATAGTTTCATAATAATTATAAAAATCTATGTTTATTTTTGTCATTAATAGTCATATTAACATGTTATCGAATAGAATTAATCCGACGAAGTATTGAGAAATTTATTCATTTGCAATAAACGAACTTTTTCAATTTCATATAGAAATTTTATATGTATATTGTATATTTTGATTTTTTTTTCGCGGGGTATGTTATAGACCTATCTATTAGTTAACTTTAGATTATATCATGTATTTGATATTTTCTTTTGTTTTTTTTTACTTTCTATATTCATGCTTGTTATATACGTTTTTATCTAGATGTTTGTCATTAGTGTTAGGATTTTTATTTTAGTTTTTATGTACTTGCTATTTATTAATTTAATTTTTGTATTATATATGCAGTTTTGTAATCAAATCATGATTTATATTAGGTATGAATTACATTTAAGAAAAATTAATATAATCTGAAGCATTAAATTTCCAATAGTGAAGTTAAATTTTTATAATATAAAATTTTGATGCAATAAATTCGTATATAAAATGTTAATACTTAGATAACTGGGAAATCAAATATGCGAATATTAAAATTGTATTGATTCTTTATTTTATATTAAAATTTTTTTTTCGTTAACTTTAATTTTTATAATATTATGTTTTCAATTTCCATATATATAATCTTTTGTTACATATAAATATCTTTAATTTTTTTTTGCTTTCCAAATATTTTTCCACTTAAATTTTAGTATTTATACTTTATTTTAGGCAGTAAATATGTTACCAACAGATTTTTATTTTCCTCTACTTAATAATCATTTACCACCAAGTTGGAATATAGATGAACGAATGAGATTTTTTTGTGCTCCATTTAGAAATCGTTCTTCCAATCCAGAAGAATGGATTCATAAGTATCAATTTTGGCACGAATTAATAAATAGTTGGTCAAGTTATTATGCATTATGTTGTTTTACCCTCTCAGTTGTAAATGCTAACTTTCAGAGAAATTCTCAAAAAATTTCATGTTTACCAACAGTTTGGCAAGAACTTTACCGGTAAATTGATTTATAATCATTTATGTTATTCTTAAAGTGATTTAGTTTTCTAAAAGTACTTAAAGGTTTAGTTTTTTTTTATTTATACTCATTTCTATTTTATCAATTTTAATACAGTAATGGTGAGATAATATCAATATCAGATTTTTTAAAAGAACCCAGTAATACATGGATTGGTTGGATGGTAGACATATTTATAAAAAAATCAACTTTTTGGATTTTTTCAAAAGTTAAAGGTTATATATTAGAGCCAAATTTTAATATGACTGAAAAATATGTTTATCTTGCTACTGTTAAAGAATTAGCAGAATTAATATTATTGACAGTTAATAGTAAAAATGATAATAAATTGCTGTCATTATCTAAATTGACAAAGAATTGTATTAAGCAAAGCAGTAATGATAGAATTACAGAGGAAAATATAAAATTGGCCTTAATTTGGCTTAGGCGTACCAAACAGGCTGCTTTTAGAGTTTGTAAAGGGGATAATTCATATAATTTATTAGTAAAGATTTCCTCAAATAATGTAGAAGATGTCACAGAAATTGATGAAGGTATTTATACATTAACCCAACAAGAATATATAATAACGAAATGTATTGAAGAATTGGAGAAAAAGCGAAATGAAGTAATTTTAAAAGCAAAGTTATCATTAAAAAATGGCTTGAGACAAGTAGCTAAAAGTCTTTTACGAAAAAAACATGAACTTGATAAGTGTATTGAAAAACGTAGTATTACCTTACACAATGTTCAAAAGCTTTTATCCAGTATTGATGATGCTCATTATAATACTAATACATTAGCTGCATACAAGGCAGGTTGTAATATATTGAAAAAGTTTGAAAGTAATGGTCTAACTGAAGATAAAGCTAAAGATACCGTAAATGACTTATCTGAGGTATATATAAGTGTTAATACCAAAATTAATTTATGAATATAATTTTAGTTTATAATATATTTTTTGTGTATAATAAACAATTTTTATTAAATATATTACTGAATTAAAATTATACATAACTATTAATATACATTAATTAAATCATATTTATTATGTACCACAGCAAAAATATTTTACGAATTTAGTAGTTAGGTATTATGTTAAAACTTTTCCATTCTAGATTTTTGAAGACTTAAATGAAATAAAATCTATTATGATTCAGCCTGTACTTACTGTTGAATCAGATTTTGAATTAGAGAAAGAATTAACTGAAATAATGAAAAGCACTGGAAGTAATCTATCTACATCTGCAATGAATACAAATCAGTTATTGAATATCTTAGAATTACCAGACTTGGTAGATTTAGATTTAGACGGTAAGATGTTAATTTATATATTTTTTATTCTTTTTATTGACTTTGTAAAAGATAATCTAATAGTATTTTAAACACATGGATACATTTTAATACAAATAAATTTAAATTTGATATTTTTATCTGGACACTGTTTATTGTTCATAATTTAAGCAACAGAAAAAATCTTTTTTAATAATTTTTAACAAAAATATAATATAAACAGAAAGTGCCTGTAACAATTTGTAAAGTTATTAAAAAAATAACTAAAATTTTTATAATAACCATACAATTTTTTATTTTATTTAAACTAGTATATTATTAAATATATTAAATTGTATAATTCTTTATATAATGAATTAAATATAAAAAATTTTATAGTTATTTATTTTAATCGTTTAAGTTATAACTTATATATTTTTGAATATATTTAATTTAATGAAATAAATGAATAAGTCTTATTGAATTTAAAATACTATCTAAAATTATAATCTATCTTTAACATGTATCTATCTAATTCATTTATAATATTATCCAAAAATATCTTAAATCTTTACTGACTTAAAATGTATCATCTTCTAATGTTTTACTTTATAAATAATTATAAAATTATTTTTATAATTATAGAAAGTTGATAATTGATATTATAGTCAATCTTTAATTTCCAAAATAAAAATGCTTGTAATCTTAAAATTAACCAGTCATTTTTTTGATGATATTAAATGAATTTTATATATCAGGACCCTGTTTTCATAAAATCTTTTTTTTTTTTAATGTATAAAAGATATTTTTAATTATTTATGGAAAAGTAATATTTGTATTCAATTATACTTAATTCTAATTGATATTTTAATTAAAAGTGAAAAATTTTATTTTAAAATTTTTATTTGTTTATTCTTAGATCTATCAGCATATAAAACAAAATTTCTCCAAAATCAACTTAATTTTTCTAAACCTAGTAAGCTTCATTAGAAATAAAATGTCATTATAAGGTAAATAAATTTTTTAAAATGAATAAATATTAAAATTAAATTTAAATATTCCATTCATAACAATGATTGTCATGTTGTTGAATCATTTGCATAATATATTAATTGTAATGAGATTTCATAAAATTTAGGATTACTTAAAAAAAATTTCTTATTGCAGATAAATTATTTCAAATAATTATTTTTGTAAATGATGTATTTATAATTATTGAGTCTTATTTGTTAATATTTAGAGGTAAGTTTCAAAAACTAAATTAATATGACATTTTGTCAAATTTTATTAATAAGGTTTCCTTAATAACACTGTAAAAACATTAAATAAAGCAATTCTTAATATATTGTTTTTATTGATATTTATAAACTATGATTAATAATAAATTATAATAGTAGGTACAGGAAAAATGTTTAAAATATGTATATAATAAATATTAAGTGTTTTTCATGTCTAAAATTTGTATTTAACATAAATTTTTGCACTTATACATAAATTATTAGTTAAATATATTTAAAAATGAAAATATTTCAAATATATTATTAATATTTGATAGATATCAAAAAGCTAAATAATAAAGTAATGTATATACTGCTATTGATAGTCATTTAAATTTACAATTTCTTATATTAGTATATATAAGTGTAATCAAATGTTATATCTTAAATGCAACATAAGTTAATTATTTTGTATTCTAAATGCATCTGTAAAACTTTATTTGTCCTACCACAAATATTCATAATCAAATGAATTTTGATTCTGTTATACCAGTTGAATCTATAATATGTAAAAGTATAAAGTTGTTCAAAGCTGATACGAAAAAATTAAAACAATTATTTGTATCTCATTCATGTTGTTTATTCAAAAGACAAACTAATTATGTAATATGTACGTTTAATTTATATAAGTACATTGTTTTCATTTTTTGAGTGAAAAAAGGTAGATATGGATCCCTAAATTTCTGAATATATTTTTATATTGACTTATTTGATTTCATTGATATTTACATTTTAATTTAATTAATTCAGATTAAAACGAGATTAAATATTTTTTTAAAAATAATATAATTAATTAAATGAAAACATTTGGTATGTACGAATCAATGTATAGTACAAATAAAAGTAGATTTCAGTAAGATATTAATATTTGCTTAATATTGCAGGACCCCGAATCAATGTAATAAGCTAATTTATATTCAATATTTACTATCATCGTTTTAATAACAAATTTGTCTAATATCTGTCAAACAAGCAAAATCAAATATTTTAATATTTTAAAATAACATTTACGAATTAATAGAAGTATCAAATTATTCAATGAATTATAAAATATTTTTACAAGATGTATTAAAAATCATTGTTTCAGTATTTAACTACATTGTTCATATAAATATTGCTGAAAATGCAAATACTTATATTTGCTTAATTAATATAAAATCTACAAGATGTAATATGATTAATAAATTTGTTAATTTAAGATATTAGAATCTTGTCTTCACTTTTATTTTTACTTTTATAACTGTCTCTTTTATTTTCATTCAAATTTTGTTCTTCATTTGTTCGTAGTATAAATGAATTAGTATTTAATTTTGCTAGCCAATTTAGCATACTGTACATTTATTAAGAAATTGTAACTAATACATAATTTTATCGAAAAAATTAAAAAATGACATGTAAAATGACTTATGATATAATATATTTTTAACTAGATTTATATATTTTTTATATTTTCCACATTCAATGTGCCTTTTTTTATTACATGAATATTCACCTGTAGATGTATCTACAGAATTTTACAAAAAGCAATATAATTTACTAAATGTTCTATATTTTCTATTCTATTTTGGTTAATTTAAAAAATATTTAATATGATATAGAATATGTATTAAATATATAACTTGAAAGTATGATTATTTTATTAATCATTAAAAGGATACGTATTTTCTTTGATTTCTGTATCAATGATGTAATTATAAATTATATTTTTTTCAAATTCTATTATTTCTTTTTCACAATCAGCCCAATCAAGTTTTTCATGAATTCCATCTGATCCATATCTTTTGTCATAATATTCATAATGTACCTAAAATAATAAAATTAAATATATTGTGTAAAAATGATTTTTTGTAATAAAAAATATTAAAAAATATAGTAGTAAATATTACTGTACTGTAATGTAACATTAAGATTTACATATAAGTTTATATTAATTTATATTTTATTAAAAAATATTCTACTATATTTTTAATACTTCAGTAATTTATTTTTAAACATTTTTATTACAAAATATAACATTAATCCCAAACTTGGTGCTCTATAGATATCAAACTTTTGTTGTTCAAAAGTTTGTTCAAGTTCCTTTGCTGTTATAATATTTCTCATAATTCCTATTATTATTGCTATCATTTTTCTGATTTGATGTAACATAAAACTTTGCCCTTTAATTTTTAAGGTAATAAATTCCATGTTATTAATAGTAAAAGGCTCTTCGGCTATAAAATTCATTATATAACGTCTTGCTCTTGGATCTAATGGCAGTCTAAAAATTATTTGTTATAAAATTTGATCAATTATAAGTTGTTTCTATTATACTTACACTTTAGATGTATAATTATGAAATTTATGAGTTCCTTCAAAATATTTCAATAGTTCTTGCAACCTTTGTAGTTTTTCTTTTGATATTCTATATTCGTGATATGGTTTTCCATTAATAATAGATAATTCTATTAACCGTTTTTCAATAAGTATTGAATTTGCTGTTGTCTGAAATTGTTCTAAATTTTCTGGGATAAATGCATATGTAGGTATGGTATATGAATAAGTTCGTGCATCACACTGTGATTTACTGTTGAATCCTTTTGTTACCCGTTTAATTCCAAACACTCGTATATCTTCAGGCAAATAGTTATTTATCGTATCCTTGCATGGATCTTCAGCTACAAAAAATTTATTATAAATGATAAAAAATAGAATTTAAATTCATTACATATACATATTATCTATTATATACATTATGCTATAATTAAATTAATGACTGAATTAATTAAAAATTTAACATGTATAAAAAATAAAATAATATTCAATTTATTTCTATAAATTAAAAATATACTATAAATATAAAATCTTACGTAGCTTTAGAGAAACAACTTGTCTAATAGCAGATACTCCTTTATCTGTTCTAGCTGCCCTTTGAAAGTTAATAGTTTGAATCATTCCAAAAGTTTCAGAATTTATCAAATTAGCTTTTAATAATGCTTTTATTAAATGTTCTTCCACTGTTGCCATACCAGGATTTCTTTGCATTCCATAATAATTTTTACCAAGATAACTTAACAACATAGCATAGTTTTTTCTTTTTATTCTTATATATTGATCAACTTTTTGTTTTTTTGAATTATTTGTAATGTCATCATTTAATAATCTTTTTTCAATTTTATTGATATTTATATTTGTATTTTGTGTCATATCCATTTGACAAGTTAATAATCTACATATACCAATAACTGAAAAGATTAAGATTTAAAAATATGAAAAATAATGTTTAACTTAAATTACAAGTTTTGTATATAAAAACTACATAAATTTTTTCAATCATATAATATTATCAATAATAAAAAATAAAAAACAATATAATTAAAAGTGATATATGAAAACTATAGGACCATAATATAAAAGATTAAAAAAACATTTCATTATATTAAATTTAAATTATAATTAATTATGTATATATTTTTATAAAATATTAGATTAATTTAAATTGTTGACATGAGTACTTACAATTCATACAATTTTTTAAAACTTTTTGTGATAAACTTAACCAAAGCATTTAAAGCTATTTATTTATGTATCTAAGTTTTGCTATAAAAAAATATTAATTTACTGACAGGATTAACATATTTGAACAACTAAAATTAAAAAATATAAAATGATATGTAGAATTTATAATTGTAAAATTTCTTTCACTCCATAAACATGTATATTAAAATCTTAAGTAAACAAAATTGTATTTTTATACTATCTCTTTAAACGGTTTTTGTTGAAAAAAATTTTTAATCTAGGCTTAATTAAATGTATATAACTTAGTAAAATCTCAAATGCATTTATTTATTGTTATAAATATCGCTTAATCATAATTATTTGTATTTGTAAAAAATATAGAATATTTACAAATTTTTAATACTAATTACAAATGAACTTTAGTTTCATCGTTCGATCTCCAAGATATCTAACAAAAAAAAAATGATGCGCATGCGTAAATATATCGACATAAAGCTATAGAAATTATGTAGAAAGTTATGAAATGCGGGTTATACTTTCTATTTCCCCTAATTCTAAAAGGTTTGTTATTAAAATATTACAAACCATATATAATTTACTCTGTTATAAAATTATAATATTTTATTAAAACTTATGGAATTATAAAAAAATACGTTATTGTGAATACTTAATTGGATTAATGTAGTTGAGTATACCGAATTTGTAAGATTTTGCACAAGTGTCGGTCAGATTGTGTCAACTGTATTATACTAGAATTTTTTGTATATTGAATCTAAAGATAAAGGAAACAGTTGAAAATTTATCTAGCAATGATTTTAATTAATTTCAAATTTGATAAATAATTCAATTGCATTCACTTTAATTTTTTATAATAATAAGATTTAGTTCCATACAAAAAATATAAAAAAAGGGAGAAAATTTTAGAATAAAAATAGAAGCAGTGATATTCAATATATAAAAGTCTTAGATGTGATAACGATTAAACATAATATACGTTTAAAAATTAAATTAAGATGGAATCTATATTAATTACTCAAATTATATTATTTGCTTAATTAATATTAGTTGTTAGTATTTGTCGGTTTGTTTATTGATATGTTCAAGCTACTATGTTTGTTTTATAGGTATTCATAACAATAATAAACGTCGGTGAAATAAAACTTTTTATCCGAATGTTTAATTTTTAGATAATTTATTTTGCATTGTATGGTATATTATATTTGTCTTACTGAAATAATCTATATAAAATATGTATTATTATTTAAATAAGTAATTAAAATTGTTATATTCCAATGCATGTTATTTATTATGCATAGGATACATGCAATATTTTGAATTTATTAAGTGAACTATGTATTATATATTTTATAATGTATGAAAAAACTATTTCCTAACCGTTTGTTATTACCAAATTTACAACATTGCTATTTCACTCATTTAAACATATAGTAGTCATATAAAAGTGCATACAAGTCATGACTATTTAATAATATAATTAATAATAATAATATACGTATTAATTCCTGTTATATACATAATTGCTTTTATAAATTCGTAATAATAAGAAAAAAACTAAATACTTCAAATGAAGAAAATGTTATATAGAATGTAGTTTTAAAAGGCATTAGTAATTACAAAGCTTATATAATAATAAACACTTATGGTAAGAATAATGAAATTGTAAATATATACTATGCATAAATATAAATCTATATTAAGATGTTTATTTCATCATTTCACAAATAATTGTAAAAAATTTAATATTGAACAAGAATTTTGTATAAATTCATTTAATAAGGACGTGAAATAGAAAAAAAGAAATATTAATTTTAAATCAGTTTATAGAATTATCTTTATAATTTGTTATAAGTATAATGTTTCATAGAATTTTAAAAACAAAAAAATGGACAAAACAATTAATCATTAACAACTTAATATTAACATTGAAAATAAAATTATTTTATAATAAAATTGTTATCATTGGATCATCCATTATTCTTGTGCAAAATAGCATACATTTATAATATTCGATTTAACATATTTAGTAGCAAACATGATATATTTTAAACAACTAAACAGATAAATAATATAAAACTGCCAATAGCTTAAATCGTACTTAAATAGAATGAATGATAAATATTGGAATATCCATAAATTGAAAAAGTTACTTAAATATGGTATAAAAATGTACACAAAAATGGAACATACATTGGTAAGGAAATACAATTTTTTATTTATTTATTTATTATTTTAATACAACAGCTTATATTTTAGTTCAATATACTGAACTATTTAAAATAATTTATATTTTAGATTTATTTTAAAATATGTAGATATTAATCAGTTATGTAGTTTAAACATTTCGATACATTAGTTGGGAAAAAACCATATTTAAAAATCTGAATTTCTTAGCGACAAAATTTTTTATGAAATCAATAAAAATCAATAAATAATAAAATATTATTTTTAATAATAATTTAATATCAGAACATTTTATAATAAAAATGAAATATAAAATTTGTTAAAAAAACAGTTTAAAATTAAAAAAAAAAATAAAATTTATAGATAATTTATTTCAATTTTAAAGTAAATTATTCAATTTCTTGTTTAATTGAATAATAAAAGTGTTTTTATATTTATAATTTTATATTTGTATTTATAATAAAAAATGACTACATGAGTGACAACGTAAATACTTAACTATCTATCTTTATTCTGATGCATTATTATTAAAATACTATCATCTTAATACATTTTTACATAAATAATTCTATTACATGTAATTTAAAATTATAAATTTACCAATGTTTATTCAATTTTATAACTATAACTTGTATGTCAATATATTGTTTTAAATATAATACTTGAATTATGCTGAAATTATTTTTATTAAATATTTATTATTTATATTTAATGTTTGTAAACACTATTAATAGATCAACGAATATTTATTTATAGAATAAAAAATAAAATACTATGCAGTTCATGATTAATTGATTATATTTTATTTATCAGAATAGTACTTTGAAAATGTTTTGTCCATATCGTCTAAAGAGATTTTCAATTATTTTTTTTTAAGTTTTTGACTTCAACAGCAATTGTATCTGTGTAAAAATGTACATTTTTATTATTGGTTTTTAAAAGTATTATTCAGATAGATATTTAACAGTATAAGGAAAAAATTCTGTCTTCTTATTTATCTATAATTTTAGATTTGATTATATAACTGGTTTAATAGTTCTTGATTAAAATTCTGGATGCATTAAGAATTTTTCAATGCAATTGTATATTATTTTTTAATAACAATAGCTAAAGTATCGTCCTTTGTTTTACTTTAATCTAAAATTTGTACAAGTAAATATGGCGCAATATTTAAGCCAAAAAACATAAATATTGTGGGAATAACAATTCGCTGTGTTACAAATTAAGCACCATAATAATAAATATATTTATTTTTAATCCGTTATCTGCATGAGACTACGTATAAACCTACTCACTTTCCAAATTTTCTCAGATAACATAAAATAATTGACTGTTCAATCTTACATACTTCGCTTTTCCTTTCTTCTTATTCATTCAAGTTAAAACTTAATTATAATAATAATCATTTATATTTAGTTAGTTACACCTACTATATACTATTAGTTTCAAATTTCTTAATATCTTTATTGGGCCATTTACCTTACCTTCTTCAAGAATTCAAATTTTAGTTTAAATACATTTTTTTCTAAGCATTTCATCTGTGCTTTAAAAAGTTCTAACTAATTAAATTTAATTTGCTTTGAGTTTTCTGGCGAGCACATTATACTTCATTATTATTAAATTACAAAAAATGAATTATATATATGTTTAAATATTGAAAAATATATAATAAAAAATACTTTTATGTCTTTTTATGCAGTGGATTAAAAAAATTTTCCAGAAACTTAATTTAAGCTATCACAAATTATTAAAAAATGAAGATACTCTATTTAAAATGTGTTCAAAACAGATCTTTAAAAATAATTTATACAGTTTACATATTTACAGTGACTAGTTTAAAATATATTTTCAATATTTTGTATATTAAAAGTATTTTATTATTCCTTTCTGTATCGAATTTTTTTAATTACAGTATTAATTTTTACTTAAAAAATGAAATTAAAATTATAATCTTCCTTTACCATAGAGGTAATATTGCATGAACTTTATTGGATACAATAAAACATCTCAGGGTTTTTCCTTCTTTTCTTTTCATAACTCTTGTTTTTCAATTATTTTATGTATATTAGTAAATAAATTACTTTTACTATTAAAATATTTTTGTGAAATGATATACTTAATATAAACAAAAAAATGTAATAAAACATTATTTTTAATAATATTTATATACGAAAATTTTATAATTGGAAATAAAAAATTTCTATTTTAATACAATTTGAACTGAAACATACTTCTAGAATTACTTTACTACCAATAAGAAAAACTCACAATGTAAATACACATCTGCAAATACAAATATGTATGGGTATTAATATTTACATTCGATAGTATTTATGCCAATAGTGAATGCAAATTATTGATTGAGTCTACTAGTTTTGTTATCTTTTAAGTTAATTTAAAATTCATTTATGATGAACTCAAACTCTCTTCATATCAGCGAATAAGTACATTTCTTTACATGTCATGGTTACACGTGTTTTTATAAAAATATCCTAAAATTTAATTTAAAAATTTAAATGTTTTCATAAGGAATTTGGACATGTAATTATTTTTAAGTTTAAGTAATTATTTTAATTTACAAAACGTCAATTTTTTGTTTTGAATACAAGTAATTTAGTAAAATATATAATATTTATAACCTTAAAATCATTTATTTTTTAATAATTCATTTCTGTCAAAGCAATCCCTTACTCGTAAGTACATATATTTAGTTGTAAAATAAGATTGATCTATATATTTTTAAGTTATTTTTATAGTTTATTATATATTCTAATAAAAATATCTTTTTTCGTACAGTCTTCAACTAAATTAATTTGTTGTATACAGTTAAATATATTTCAGTTGGTTGAGAGTTTTAATTATTAAAAATTTCAATTCGTAAAAAATTTGAAAGTATTCTGGACTATTATTTACTTTAAAATATGATATAAGTCGAATATATTAATAATATATTTGTTTTATTTTATGTGTAATATAGTTTCCAACTCAATAAAAAATCTTGCAGATGTATTTTATATCATTACTATGTAAATGTCATTTTGTATATTTTCACTTAATATATTTTTTATATTATATAGTTTATATTATTTTTGTTGCTAATACTTCAATTATTTTAAGAAGCTGTTATAGTTGTTCACTATGTATTATTTTTATAAAATTTTAACACTTTGCTGGTTTAAGTATTTATATTCCCATATTTCCCATACATCCCATATTTTAAATTATGATATATATTTTTAATTCATCAAATTACCAAATATTTATTTTCATAAACTGTTTAAATATATAAAATATATAACCAGTTTAATTATATAGAATAGTTTTCTAAAAAGAAATGTAAGAAATTCTTTTGTTTTCTTGCACATGTTCGAATGCAATATTACAATATCAGCATAGTTATTAGTATTCATTATACTGTAAATACATTTTTTAAGCATATGCTTTATGCATAATTCCAGTAATTTATTAATAGTAAATAAAATATGGTTTGATAATTCAGTAAAATATTTTTTTAATATAGATTTTCTAACTACGATCAGAAAATGTTATCTGTTTAATAAAGTTATTTGAAATAATCTAATCACAGAAATAAACTTTTTAAATTTTATAATGCATTAGCTATTTTTCAGGATTATTCCTTAAAAAATGGAGTATAAAATGTATCTCATTTATTCAAAATATTTTAATTTTTTTATTTATTTCAATTTGATCAAATACAGTACCTGAATTGACGATATAAATTAAATTAACAAACTTAATTCTGTTTAACTTATACTATATATATTAACTAATTAAACGATTTACATTGTATTTAAAATTTTTTCAATGATATAATACTGTTTATAAATCGAACATTAAGTAATATTTTATAGTACATTAAGTCTTCAATGAATTAAATACATTAAAATAAAATAATTATACATTAATTTGTGTTTATAGATGTAACATCTAATGATTTTGAAATATCTTTTTCGAAGTATACTTTTATAGACTCAAAATTTTATATATTTTTTTTAATTTATATTGCCTTATTTTATTATTTTTTCTAACTTAGACTAAGCATGTGTAATCAGTTTAGATAAGTTTATATACAAATAAAACCAACATAAGATAATAAAACAACGAATATAGCAAGCAGTTTAATTTGCAAATGAATAGAATATATGTGAATTTAATCATATATTGTAAGAAAATTAATTATAAAATAAATATTTATAAAAAAAATCTAAACAAAATTATTTTATTACTTTTATATAAATAGTTAATATCATAAGAGTGTTAATTACAATATCTATAGATTTTATAGTGTTTTTACTAAAGCAGAATTCATTGTTCATTTTGTTATGTTCATTAATTAATTTGAAAAAATGAATGTTATAAATTTCAGTATTTTGTTACTATACATATATTTATATTAATGGTGATTGAATAAAAATAAAATCAAAATATTTGGGGATTAATAAATATTCTGGAATACGTTTCTGCTTTAATAATATTTAAATATATCTTATTTTATAAAAATGGTTTTTATTTTTATAACAAATATGTACTTTCGAATAATACAGATAGTATATTGCACTCTCTTCGTTTTTCACTACACATACGATAAAGTGCTAAATTATGTTGACCGAGTACTCAAACTGACATAAATTGAAATTACTTGGAAGGATGTTGTAAAAAAATTTTTAAATATTTTTAATTTGAGAATTCATTTCAGCTCTCCAAAATAATTATAGGTAAATAATAGGTAAATAATTATATAAATTGTTTTAGTTATATTTAAAAAAAAAATAAAATTTAATTGATTTAACTTATGTAAATATTTCACCACATATATTCATAATCTTAAAAAGATTAATTATCAAGTGATTAATACACCTTCATAATTAAATTTACTTTTAATTATTCTTAAAATTTATTCAAATGAACATAATTTGAAAATTGGGAAAATCATAAAATGAAATATTTTTAATGAATTCATATATGGTTGTTATACACTGTATAATAATTATTTATATGAAATATTTTTATTATTTGTTATTACTTTTATCTATAATTTTATCGATTGTAATTTTATTATTTTATAATAGTTCAAATGTATTTTTTTTTTAAATTGAGAATAATTGTAGTGGTATCGATTTGGAGACTTCGTAATAATATGTAATGATGAGTCATAATTATTGTTAATCTAAATATTCATATATAGTTGATCAATTTTAAAAATCATTGGAAATTGCTCTATCATTAAAAAATATCCTAGAAATAAGTCATACTTATTTGAAGCATTCAATATTTCGTGATCTATTAGTCAATGTATTTTTTTCCAAAAATACTTTTATTTAACAGTAATGTTTTGTATTACTGCTGCAAGGTCTACAAAGATTTGTTGGGGTGCCAATCATCATTCGTATTCTTAACTTGCCTGGAATTGATGGTCAGAGCGGGAGGTAACGGAGAAGGGATAAAAGTAGCAGCTACCGAAGGCGCGCAGAGCGTCACTGCTACGCACACAATTTATTCTGTTGTACTAAGAGTTAACGAGAGTTAAAGTACTTACGTTCTTACGACTAAGAGTAAGACTTATCTTTATACTAACATATATCAAGTTGGTACGTTCGATTGAAGCAATTGCAATGGACATACAAAAGTAGACGTCATTCCTTTTACGAGTTGATTTGTTCTTCCAAATCAAACAATTTTGGCAACGTGAGCCAATTTACTTTTATTTTCGTATACTAAGTCAAAGAATTGTGAATTTTATGCATGCAATATTATATTAGAAATTAAAATATTTTTTTGCTTTTTGAGTTTTGGTATTTTTAATTCTTGTCTTGACAACCTCATTAGTAACGTATCATTGTATTTAATTTGTATTAAATGAGTGAATTGAAAAATAAGTTGCAAACGCGTGCACCTTTTACGTATGTGTTGAGCCACGCTTGAAATTTTGGAGCGGAATTTTTAAAAGAAGAAAATTTTCAATTCTACTTATCTGTTGAACGAACAAGTAAGTATTTATTGCGCTGAATTTCAATAAAATTTTACTTTTATTAATTGACAGTATTAACCAATTTGTGGCCATATATTTAGTTGATATTTGTTTTTTATGTGTATAATTAATATATGAAAAATAGAAGTGTATCTTGGAAAGTTGAGAAGCTGTATCAAATGTTTATAAAGTTAAATGTATAACAATATTTTTATTTACATTTTTAGCCTTTAGCTTTTTACATTAAAATTATTTCTATGATACTTTTAGAAAAAAATAGTTTTATAAACGAATTTTACAAAAGTTGTTTATAAATCAATATAACACTTGATTGTATATATTGTATATAGTTAGATTTTTTTTACTGTACATACTGTACATACAAATATAAATACAATTTCCATGTTATAATATATTTAATAGACTTTGAAAAAGCAAATAAATATGTGTACAAATTATTTGTAGCCAATTCAAGAAAATTTAAAAGTAATATTAAATGTAAATATACAAATGTTATACGTTTATTACGAAACATTGAAAAACTTTCAAAATCATAATCAAAATATATAAATGGAAAAAAGAACGAATAAAAAATTGTAAATAAAGTCTAAGGATCATAAATTCAATTAATCTATTTAATGTAATTTTATTTCAGTTTGGATGAATATGTGGTAGATTTAACGTGTGCGAAGCGAAATTTGACTTTTCAGAATAAAATTTGAATCATCAAACTTTTTAATAATATTGATTAATGACCATTATCTAAAAATTATTTTCAAATATTTTGAATAATTTTCAAATAATAACTTTATTTATGGAAAAATTATCTTTATCAGTAAATAGAAATAGGTATAGGTTTCTTACTCTAAAAATAAATATGTTCAAATTTTTCAAATTCTTTTCAATTGAATAATTATTATAATTAGTTGATGTGAATTGCAAAAGTATAATAAATAAAATATTAATGTTAAATTTGGTTTTGCTTTGGTGATACGATAATTTTTTTTTCTTAATTTATAATGTTTTACATTATATATTAAAATTAATGAAAAAATCGTTATATTAAAATTCGATAGTAAAATGTATACACAAGTAGAATAGTAATCTTTCATTGAAATTAGTATGATATAATAATCTATTTATACGATATATAATAGATTGTCTGCTAAATATATGTTGACTAAACCAAAGCTCAAGTTATGCTCACATTACTGCCATATTACACAGTTCTGGGAAGATTTTCAAAATGTAAAATTCATTAGTTATTCAATTTTTAATTGAATGTATATACCATGTAACATTTTAAGTATTTTGTTTAAAGTACTTTGTTTTTATTTATTCTTTGTTCTATATGTTAGTTACAGAAAGTCGAGTTCCGTTGGTCTTGTACAAAGAATCTCATGATAGTGATAAACTAATATATAATTTTTATGATTTATTTGTTTTTTATATACTACACTTTGATTGTATAATGAATCAAGTATGTGATTTATATTTAGAGATTTTGTAATATTTTAAAGCTGTATATTTAATCAATTCTGAATACACAAAAACACATTGAAAAACAAACTACAAGCATTTACTATTTTAACAATCACGGGGCACAGAACAAGATATATGAATATTTACTTGTGTATATATATATATATATATATGAAACCTCCTAGAATAAATGAAAAATATAGTAGTATAAGTGCAGAATGCATCAAGTTGCTGTTGGAAAAATCATCCATCATTGCATCTCGGCGAAGTCTCGCAAACAATATGAACCTTTATCATCACTGTTTTCTGCGCGTGTGCTATTATATTCATTTCAATTTGTTGTTTTCAATCAAAATAATTTTAAGAGTAAAACATTTATATGCTTAAAAATACTAATAAAGTATTTTATTTAATCGCAAATTAGAATAATTTAATTGTTAATACAAATTAATAATACCTTGGTGATATTCGAACAAACTTATTATTCGCTATAGTCTATGATTATAATTTAAGTAAGCACAGTACAAATAATACGTAAATATATTAATTAATGTTGAATAATTTGAATTCTAAAAAAACGCGCACAAATTTTAAATAAATATAAATTATTAAAACATTCATATACATAAATAAATTGATGAAAAAAATATTTAATAATCCTAAAGATTATTTAAAATTTATTTTATAAATAAATAACTTCAAATAAAAATAATAAAAATAATTGGTTGTTTATTCTATAAGAAAAATGAACACGGTACTGCTATAAATATATGACTTCGAAAAAACTTGAAAAGTGATGATCGCGTGTGTGCTAAAATTAGATTACTGTTGTACGCGTGTTGATATTTACGAGCGACTTTTTATAAAATCTTTTTATATCTTGAATTTTCAACAATAATTGAAATTAGCAACCAATTAAATATTACAAACAAAAATTTTGAATATATGCATTTTAATAGGCGTATAAATTTTATTAAATGACAAATAATACAAGTAATATCAAATTATTCTATTAGATTATATTTTAAAATTGGTTAATGTTTAGATTTAAAAGAAGCAGCAAATATATTGATATGTTCAATATTATTTAGGTAATTGATAAAAATAAACACAACTTCAAAGAAAGTTTCTGAAACACAGCTTATATACAGAAAAATGGTTTGTTAGACAAAAGGTTTAAGCAATTGACAATCATTATTTTAATTTCTTAAATTTATAATGATGAATCTTAAACACAAGGAAAATGTTTTTATTTATAGTTAAAATATATTTGATATAAATAGATTTATTTTGTAGTGCATATTATAAAAAGTGTTTGTTTTCTTAATAATCATTATTTCATATTTAATGATATTGAATTTATGTGCTGAGTATAATTTAAAAAATACATTATAATATAAAAATTATTGTTGAAAATAAGCTTATTGAAAGATGTGTTTTTAAAATTTTTCGTAAATAAGTTAATTTTTAATAGTGTTTGATAATAAAAATATTGCATTAATTAAACAGCTACGATGAATTTTAAAGCGAAAGTATAACTATTAAAGAATCATTTATATTTTTTATAGAAATCGATAAAACCAAACCGAAAATATTTTGAATAATTAGAATTGTAAGAAGATTTATCTCATGTATTAAAATATCGTGTATTAAAAATCTATACCAACTAATGATACAAGACAAAAATTAATAAACTTTTTTTTAGTTATCGAATTAATTATGGAATAATTCAATACAATTTAAAATGAAAAAAAATTGATATTATGCTTGTCCTCTCGCTGATTCTAATATGACAATTTCATAAGGATAGTAAGAAGAACAGTATACAAAATATTCAATTGTATTAGTATTATTATGATATTATTATTATTATCGATTATGAACATCTGTGCTTGATTAGATATAATATATAATAATAATAAATAAAATATATAAATTTAATTTTTTAAAATACAAGATTAGATGTTTTATTAGTCACATCCTTCTTTCATCGCCTTTCTTTTCTTCCTATCATACTTTATATTTATATATATTTAATTGATAAAACAAACTTATGAGAGACCTTGAATTACGAAATATATACATTATTTTTATAATTTATAAGAGTGCTAAAATTATTTGTAGATTTAAATATTTATTTTATTTATAAATGTATTTACTTTAAATAGTAATCTCATTTTTTAATTACATTTTGAATATAGTATTTGTCAATTTATCATTCGAAATTAAACTAAATTTAATAAATAAAATAACAAGTTGTAGGTAATATAATTTATATTCTTTTATATCAATTAAGAATACAAAATATTGTATGAATGTGTATACTATCACATAAATTATTTTATCATTGTGAGAAAAAAATATTTAAACTTGAATAAAAATGAAATCGAATAATAAAATAACGATATGAAATCAATATTTTATTATCTGCAATTATTAGATAGAAAATAAATTATACTTTATCACTTTTTTATTATAGCATGATATGTATCTTGATTTTTTTTTAAATAGAGTAAGATACTTTATTATTAATTAGTTTACTATTACTAAATTGTAAGTGAGAATGTGTAAAAGTATATTGATTTTAACTTTTTCGTATGTAACAAGTAACGTATGTTATATTTTTTCTATGTTTGCATTTAATGTACATCTATTTTTAAAAATAAAATATAATTTATTAAAATAACTGATAATTATAACATGCATTAAGTCAAATTAAAGTCTTGAACTATTTTTAAAGAAAGTCTTCATTTTTTATAACTAAATCATCTTTCAATTATATTTTATATAATGTTTATTATATTAAATTGATTTGTAATAAAAGTACATATTGTTAATAATTTTTTATAAGAATAAATTAAAAACATTTAAAATAAAACTCATACTACTTGAACTTAAATTATTATAAATTATTTGTTTACTCGATTAAACTGGATAAATATACTGTATAATATTTGGCAAGAAAGATACTAAAATCAATTTGATTAAAATTTTATTATTAAGTTATAGTATAATTTCAGTTTTAGTATTTATATTTTATTATATTTTAGTATTATATTAGTATTATTTTAGTATTATATTTTAGTATTTATATAATTAGTATTTATAATAACAGTATTTAGTATTTTTAGTATGTTCGCTCTTTTTTTATACTTTGGTAAAAAATTTTAAATATGGTAGCCTTTTTTAATTGGCGATTGAAAAAATATTTTAAAATAAATATTTTATTAAAACA